GTTATGAACATACGTGCACAAACATATTTTCAAGATGCTGTTTTTAATTTTTGGGTATATACCCAGGAAATAAAATTAGTGGATCATCACTGAGCTTTTTTGAGTATATGAAGAGTCCTTAACATTAAAATGGATGTTTTCTTTTAGCATACTCACTATTTTCTATTAACACATGTACCTGGATAAACTAAGCAGAACATTCCAACAAAGAGTTTTAATGTAGATTTCTTTTGGTACCCAGATGTTGATTGCTAAATGTAATAGTCTGATCATGATGATGAATAAATGTCTTTAAAAAATTAACAAAAAGAATTTTCAGGCAAGTTTTGAGATTCCTCAAGAAGACTGAAAGGTTGATGCTTATATAGACCAGCTTTTTCATGTAGCAATGTCCTGTTAAACTTTTTGGGGTAATGGAGGTGTTCTGCATCTGGGCTGTCTACTATGGTAGCTTTGAGCCATGCCTGGCTATCAAACATTTGAAACACGGCTGTTTGACTATGGAACTGAATTTCAAGTTTAATTATAATGAACTTAAATGTTACATGTGGCTAGTGGATGGTGAATGGGATACTGAGCCTTGCAATGTTTCCAACAAGTTGACCTATAATTTGTCTGATTAAAAGTACTTTTGAAGCTCATGGATGCTTAGAACAGAAGACAGAGGACAGAAGTTTCACAAGGCCAGAAGCTATAGGTGGGGCTAAAAATGATTAATGAGCTGTTAACCAGCTATGGAAGATCTGCAAATACAGAAACCAGAGGTCTGGACAGAAACCAGAGGTATGGATGTGGAGAACTTCAGTCATGACAAAGAAGATCATGGACCCTTACAGATTAATCCAACCAGACCTTAGATGTTATAGATTCCACAACAGATACAATTCCACAAAGGAATGAATCCACCAAAGAACACTATATAAGGATATGCCTTGCTCTGACAAATCACAGCTCTTGCTCTAAGTCTGTCTACTGTGTCTATGCACGTAATAAGCCTGTCCTTTTCAAGTGCAGCTCTGTGTCCACCTGTGTCTATGCAGGCAACTTTTTCCTAATAAACCTGCCCTTTAAAAAATGCAGCCATCGCCTGTTCATGTCTTTGCAAACATCATTTTCCTTAATAAAATTGCCTTGTGCTACTGAGTGAGGACACTGATGAAATCACTCTCAGAGGAACTCAAGACTCTACTCACTGAATACCTGCTCCCTCCCAAAATGCCAAATGAACAGCTGTAGTGTTGTTATCAAGTTCCCATACACTCTCCTGTCATATTTAAATAGGTCCTTTAGCTGTTGAGACTTTCTATGAGTTCCTCCTTTTCTGTGAGCCACTTTTTTTTAATGCAGATTTATTCATGCATACAGAACTGGGGTACAAGCCAGAGGTATAGGGGCAGTGAGAGGATTCACCAGAGACAAACAGGATGCAGAACAGGTAGAGTGACAAGTACACTGCTGAGGGGAGCAGCAGGCAAGACAGGAGGGGTCTGCTGTGCCATGTAGGTCATCTCCCTGGCTGGGGTTCAAACTCATGCTAAAGTGCTTCGCAGTGCTGTGCTTTAACCCCTTGAGCCACCAGAGAGGGCCTGCCATTTTTTAAAAATAAATAAAATTATGACTTTATGGATACTTTAATCAGATTTATATGCATGCTGGTTAATTTGTCACTAATGCATTATTTTTTTTTACAGTTTTGTTTCCTACCCCTCCCTCTCTCTCTCCTATGCTCAGTACATTTTCATCACAGAGCCATTCCTATTCCTGTTTCTACCAAATATCAACTTACTGTTAAGAGCTTGAGGATCTGAGACCTACTCCACACTGGTCTCTTCACTTGTCTGGTTCTTTCTGATCATTCAGGTAGCAGCTGAAATAGCACTCCCTGAGAGGCCATCAGTGACTACCTTACCTAAAATCCTTCTAGCCCCAAGTCTATCACCTTGCCCAATCTTTATCTAAAGTTATCATATACTTGCTTATCTCTCTCTCATCTGAATATGAAGTCTATGGAAACATAGGTCTTTTGTTTGGGGCTGATAGTGTCTGGCATTTAGAAAACTGGAGACTATGGATGGTAAGTGACCCCAGAGTTGCATAGCAGTTGGGATCAGACTTGAAGGCTCCGATTCAGGGCTCTTTTGTGAAAACAAAGGTACTTGGCTTAAATTCCTTTCATAGTAGCAAGAGAGACAGAGCTGGGGGAGGGAGCAGGAAACGAGAGAAAGGAAGGAAATATCTAGAAATTTTCATAAGATCAGGACCTTGGATTTCTGAATAGATTTTGCTATTGCCATTGGTCTTGGAGGACAATTTGTTCTAGTCTTGCATACAGTTGATAACCTCTTACATATGTATATTCCCAGGAGTGAGTAATGTATCCAGGAAACCTGTGGGCAAACAGCAGGTTTCTTTTGTTGAAGATAATTATTCCAGATTCTAAGTCTCCCCTAATAATGCTCTCTACTTGACAAAGCAGCTTTTAATCAAACTCATATATATATTTTTTAACTTCAAATAATTTTATTTCAAGTGACAATTATCTTTCTGGAAAGCAGACACTCTGCTCCCCTGACATTTTCACCAAAGCCACTGATGTCATCTTTTGAGTTCGGGGTTCTGGGAAAGGTTTCACCAGTGCTCCCCTTTCAGCGGCACACGGCGAGATTATTCATGAGAAAGAGACTCAGTTATTTTTAAAGAGGAAATTTATCAGAAAGAGACGGGAGAGGGGATGACACTTGGTCAGGTGCAAGTGGGCAGGAAGAGCTGCCCGAAAGGGACAGGTTTGCAGGGAAAGACACCTGCATGGTTGCAGGCAGGCAGGCAGGTGGCTGCTGCCTTGCAGAGGAAGAGTGGGTGGAAAGAGGCACCTGCATAGGCACAGGTGGGCAGAAGAGCAACTGCCCCTTGCTGGTGCAGACTGTCCAGATATAGACAGCTTCTCTTTGGGAGGGGCCCACTCCTTGTGAACCCAAGTTTGTTGACTTTGAATAGAATCTGAGAGGTCGGAGATTCCCTAGTGAGCTTCATCTCCATATCCATGTCCTTGTTTTTACCTGGGCGCCAAGGCATCCAGGCTTTGGTGTCCTGATTTTACCGCTGTGTCAACTGCTGCCTTTGCCCCTTTTACCCATCCTTTTGTGTGACTCAGTCTTGTGATGCCTCTCCTGCATTCTTTCCTCCATCACCACCATAATTTAAAAAGGTCTTGCTGATAGAAAGTCATGGGGAGTGGGGATAGGCAGCTAGGTAAATCTATATACAGGTAGCACAAGTTAACCGAATAGGGCTTTAAAAGTCTGCTCCTCAATATACTACCCTCCCCAAGAAAAAAAAAAAGGGGGGGGGTAGTAGAAAATACCAGTGCCTTTGGCAGAAGAAAGTCACTTTTGAAGAATGACAGTGACAGGCTGCCACTCCCTGGCAGTGCACACACAAGCACTGGAGGTTGCAGGAAAATTATGTTAAAATTGTATATGACACTCCCCTCCCCCCCCCCAAAAAAAAGCAAAGAAGAGAAACTTTTAACAATGGAATAACATTCCACCACCAATCAAGCCCAGAGCTGGCACAGCAGGCACATGGTCAAACTGGATACACACGTGGCAAAACTGCCCAATCCAAAAGAAAAGAAACAGGCGAGGACAATGTCTTTCTGCCCGTGTTCACTTTATTTTCAGCGAAAAGCACTGAAACTATAAAAAGAACTCCGCAAGAAAATTGTTATAAAACGGAAAATGGGGCTAAGTGCTAATTAAAAAATAGACCAAGAAGTAAGATTAGTAATAGATTTGTCTCAGAAACATTCAAGCTAACGAATCAAAGGAGGTACAATCCTGATTAAAATAGCTATGCAAACAAGGTGTCAAAGCTTTCAGAGCTCAGGGGTGTCTTCCAGCTTTGGTCAGCGTGGCTGTTTAGGGACTATCTATCAGCACCAGCCCCAATTCGGGGCTTGCTGGAATGAGGAGACCAAGCGTTGTAGCTTGAATGAAAACTTTCATACCTGGCAAGCAACAGAGTTCAGAGTCCCGAGACCCCCCCCAGTCCACGGGAGAAGCGCCGGCTCCGATGCAGAGCACGTCGGGAGTTGTAGTCTTCGCGGCAACGCAGCGATTGGGGAAACGGCCCCAGAGGGGCGGGGCCGTGGCTGGGCTTGCGCAGGCGCACACCTCCTCCAGGCAGCATGGCGGACACAGTGTCTCAGCCCAGCAAGAGAAAGCGCGAATTGGATGACGAGAAGACGGAAGCTCCCAGCAGAGAGGACAAGGAATCAGGCGTTGGGAATGGTACCTCCGGCCCTGTGCGCTTACCTTTCTCCGGCTTTAGAGTGAAAAAAGTGCTCAGGGAGTCTGCGCGGGACAAAATCATTTTCCTACATGGGAAGGTACCATTAGGCAACCCCGGGGTGGGACACGAGGAGCGAACCAATCATCATCGCTTTGGGGGCGGATCCCCCCCTCCACCCCCAGCGGGAAAATATTAATCCGGTTCCTGGGCAGGGTAGCGGGCAGAAGGCACCGCTGGACGCTTTGGAGTCCCGGCGCACAGAGGATGTAGGATTACCTGTAGAATAAGTGAATTGGCTCACGTAGGGCTCACTTTCCTAATTCGCCCTTTAATGTAAGTAAACAACTACACTTCTAAAGTGTATTGCAGATTAACAATCATGTGTAAAGGAGCTGGAAAAGATCATGCTTAGTGAAATAAACCAGAAAGAAAAGGAAAAATACCGGATGGTTTCATTCATAGGAGTATAAAGGACGAGGCGAGAAAATAATAATAATGAACAACTCTATACCAGAGACATTTTACGGGGGTGGAGTGGGGAATGGGATCAAAAATGGGGGCGGGGGTGATGGTGGTGGGAGTGCACTGGATTACGGTGATGGCACACGGATGATTTGGTGATGGGAGGCCCACGGAGATTACAATGAGATGGAAAAAGGTACAGAATGATGTAAAAATAAACTATTATGTTATTAAAAAGATCATGTGTAAAATTCCCCAAACACTATTTATTCATTCAACCTATAAAGAGGGCAGCATTGTGCCCTATAAACCCCAACAATGTGCTGCAGAGGTTTGCTAATTTATGCCTCCAGCATGGACTGGGAGACTGAAGGAGATAGAATCCCCACTCTACAGTTCTTCAGCAAGCTGAGGAGACATTTTATTAAAGTTGCTAATTCACTTCCACACATCTTGCTCAGACAGACCAGCACTGAGCTGGGTGCTGGGGATGCAGAGATGAAAGTTATCCTTCCTGATCTTCGGAAGTCCCAAGTAACTTTGGATAGACAGTCACAGTTGGCTCTCATACCAGCTCAGCCCTTCCACTGGGTCTGAGAAAGACTGCAGACCATTCAAGGAACTGGTGAGAAGACCTAGCTATGGACAGGTATTAGGGTTCCCCAGAACTCCTAGCAGGAGCTCTCACTTTTGGGATCACGGGGACCTACGTTACTATGCCAGTGTGTGACGCTTATTCTCTGGAAAGTTCAGTCTGGTTTTCTCAGCCCCACCAGAACTTGTTGCTGCAGCATCTACTGAAGACATTAGCCATGAGGACTTTCATGGTGGAAGTTAGTTAGGATTCACTCGTTTCTGCATCAACATGGACTGTTTATGTCACTTTGGGCAAGTCACTTAATGTCTAGACCTCAGTTTCTGCTTTTGTAAAATGAAGAGAACTGGGCGGTGACCTTGGGAGCCGAATAGAGAAAATAGCAGAGAAGCTTTGCATCTTTTAGTAGAAAGATTTGAGAGTTGCCCCAAGGATTTGTGTTAATGAGGTGAGGTGCTTTTCTGCAAGAAAAAACATGAAATGGTTAGTCTTCCCCAGAGAGAAGACTACAGAAGCAAATCCCAAGTACTGGGATTTCAGAGGCTCCCTGAGCTTCCCTTTCTGTTCTCCAGGCTTCACCTGTGACTGCCCAAATGGTATCTCTGCTCACAGGTGAATGAGACCTCTGGGGACGGAGATGGAGAGGATGCCATTGTGATCCTGGAGAAGACGCCGTTTCAGGTGGAACAGGTGGCCCAGCTCCTGAAGGGCAGCCCTGAGCTCCAGTTGCAGTTGTCCAATGACATCTACAGCACATATCACCTGTTTCCTCCAAGGCAACTGAGTGGTAAGCAAGTGGCCTGGTGGCCTGGTGGCTGTATGTGGGGATAGCGAGACAGTGGGAAATCACGGGGTGTGGTAACCACTCTCATAACTGATTTGTGAATCTGATGCAGTAATACTCAAGGGCAGGGGGAGCCTTTACCCCTGAGGAGACATTTGGCAATAGCTGAAGCAGTTTTTGCTAATCAGACCTGGGAGGCTGGGTGCTGCTGCTTATGCAGCAAACATACGAGGCTCCCCAGAGCAGAGAGCCAGTGGTGCTGAGGTTGAGAAACCCTGCTCAGGTATTATGTTTCAGGGAGTGTGATTCATGAGCCAGAACAGTGTCCTCTACTAAGTGAATGATAAGGTCTGTCATACTTGCCCTTATTGTTGTGCCATCGTTCTAAGTATGCTACTCTAAGTATTATCATATTTAATCTTCAGAATAACCCTATTGTGATAGAATCTCACAAGTGAGGCATCTGAAGTTTTGAAAGGGTAAGCAGCTTATCCAAGATCACACAGCTAATAGGCGCAGAAAGACTTGAAGATTTTTCAGGAGACTGAGGGCTGGTTCACCACACTGCTTGACTGAGCTGTGTGCTAGGGTGTTGCCAAGATTAGTTGCTTCCCTGAAGAAATTTACTGTCTGGTCAGGCATGTGGTGAATATGATCAAAGGGTGGATTTGAGAAGGGCAAGAACTTGGAGGTTAAAAGGAAGAGATTTGTTTTTGATCCCAAATATCTCTTCCATTATGAAGAAGAGGAAAAAGGATACCAACATGGCGCAAGCCAGGTGTTAGGTGGGCATTTTCCCTTTTTGATGGTCAGATTTAGTGGGCAGCTTTGTTGGAAGCTTTGTGGAGACTGGTTGACCTTCAAAGTGCCTTCCAACCAGGAAATTCTGGGATCTGCTTTCCAGCATATGACAGTTTCATCATATCCTCCTTTTACTTGCCCTCTGGCATTTAAGAACAGTTTGACATTATGGGTATCTTGCCATGGTCTTTTTGGTAGAATTAGTGTTTTCTGCACTCAAGAAAGGGCACCATGTGTCCTTTGAAAATATATGCAAGCGTTTGATATGAGACAAGCAAACCTTTCGAAACTGAAAGCCCAACAGCTTGTCTTCTGTTGAAGGAGAGCCAGATTGATTGGTGCAAGTTGATGGAAATGGACAGCTGTATTTACTTTCTCAGACCTTGACATTTAAGCCAATGTGTTCCTTAACACGGGGTGACAGAAGTATGGCAGAAAAAACGGTAGCCAAACACCACTTGGGACAGCCCCCAAACTACAGGCTCTGGGGCCATTCTGCTGCACCCTTCCCCGTCATCGTCCCCAACCCCACATCGCCTCTCCCCAGCTGCAGCGAACATTCAGACGGCTCTGCTCTCTGGAGTGTCTGTCAACTTCACAGTCTTTCCTTTTCATTTGATTTTTCCCCGACTTCTGCAATACTTCCCACAAGTGTAGTAGCTTGCCTTCCTTCCTTCCTGTTTCTGTCTAAAAGAAGGCTCAAAAGAGGCAGTTGTTTATTAACTCACCACACAGGTCATCACCACTCAGAACTCCAAATGTTTCTGCAACTACCTGCTGTCACCTGGAATCCACGATGTTAGCTCATGTTTTCCAGGGTTTAGCAAAAACTCAGCATGCAGATGGTGTATTATCTTTCTGTTTTCCCTACCGCAGCTGGGCGTGGTGATTTGGAAATCATAACAGTTTGCTTTGGATCAAGCCTTATCTCATTTCACTGTACACTCTAACTCTGGATAATGTGCTAGACTTTTTCTGTAAAAGATCAGAGAGTAAATATTTCAGATTTTATGAGACAGAAGTGGTCTTTGTCACATATTCTTTTCTTCTTTTACCCCTTCAAAAATAAAAATGCTATTTTTGGCTTGCTGGGTATAGAGAAACAGACCATAGGCCAGAGTTGACCTTTGGGCCATAGCTCATCATCCTCTGTTCCAGAATTTTCCCTCCCAAAGGGTGTTCGGACTCATGGCATTGGTATCATCCGGAGGCTTCTTAAAAATGTAGAGGCTCAGACCCTACTCCAGGCCTCGGATTCTGCATTATAGCAAACCCCCTAGGTAAGCTACATTCATGTTCATCCTTCAGAGGCACCGGTCTTTAAACCCCTTCTCTGTGTGGGTAGTGCCCCCACTTATTTCTCCATCACTGACCTTTCTGAAAACTGCCAGGTCTAATTGGAAAAAAAAAAAAACCAAACACCTACTTGACATCTTTTATTAGGAGATCTCACAGGTACCTCACAGGTAAAATATGACAGATGCACCGATGTCTTTAAAAGCACCTAGCACCTGTTAAATAGTAGCTGTTATGATTATTCTGGTGTGCTGGGCCCTGGGCTTCAGAGATGAGTAAGACACCTGCTTTGTCTTCCCAGCCTTGTTTGGAGATGCCACCCCACAAGTGATGAAAAGAAGGACATAAGCTCAGCAGGGTTTGGTTGCTACCTGGATGTAGGAAGCAGGCCCTTGAAAGTCATAGCCATGTCAGACTCGTCAGCCCCCAGCAGTCAGACCTGTGTTAGATGCTTAGTAAGGCAACTGAAGAATGAACCCACAAATCACCCATCTGTTTTACCCTGTGGTCGAGCATCCCCCATGACCACAAGGTGGCGGCATTGCCCACACATTCCTGGGTCGCCTCGTTTGTCTATGCCAGCCCTCCTCAGGCCTGCCTCTCCAGTCTCAGTCTTGGTCACCAGCCCTTAATGTGTGCAGAGAGGGCTTAAAGAGGTTCCTGCAGCCTCAGTCCTCTGAACCTGCTGGACTGTTGCCCCTTAGAGTTTTTCTACCACCTCTGGCAGTTTCTCTGCAGTTCCTCCCCATAGCATTGCTTGCCCTGGGGAGTCCTCAATCCTATTTCTGAACTGGCTGCTCTCCTGACTCCTCTGGTATTTCTCTAGTCATTGGCAAATTTTTCTTCTAGCCTGAGGGTTTTGCACTCTCATTTATCCCTTTCAAATCCTTAGCTGGCCATAAGGGACTGTTCCTGTGAGCCACTCAGGACCCTCACCCGGTGACGTAATTGGGAGAGCGGGGGCACCAGAGGAGATGCGCTGGCTACTGTTTCCCTGCACGATGGCCTGAGTGTATGCCTGCCATGTCTGAGCTTCAGTGTGTAGTACAGGGGTTAGAGCAGTCTTGCCTTGCCAGACACACTTGGGCTGGAATCCTGGTGTGTCCTTTACCAATGGTGAGGACATGGGAAGTTTCTGTATTCGTGTAACGAACAGGAAGTGCCTGCTGCATGCCCAGTGCCGTGCTAGAGCCTGGTATGTACCTGTGAGAACGTGAGATCTTATCTCCGTCTCTGGAGTCAGAGTGGGGGAGGCAGACAACAAACAAGGAAGCAAATGTTTAAGCAACCACAAATTAGAATAGCGCTACCCTAATGGGGTCCAAGGTCACTCTGACCTGCGAGATGAGACCTGAAGGGAACCAGCTGTTGGAGAGCCAGTGAGGGATGGACAGTGTTTGGGACTGAGGAACAGATGTGTTCTGAGTGAGGAAAGAGGAACAAAGGGGAGGCTGTTGTGTCAGGAGCCTGGAAGGACAGTTGGTGTCTAGGGTGTGTGATCCAGAGGAAGTCGGGGGAATAGCTTCAGTTTTTCTGGGGGTTGGGGGTGTTAGTAGTTGGATGTAGCTTGGGATAGTTATGAAATAAAAATGTCTTACAAACTTTTAGCCTCTGTCACAGTGAGGGGTATATTTTTTATTGTGACCTGGTATCGGAAAATAAATACGCATGGGTAGAAGGGGAAGAAAAGGCTCATAAAACTATACTTAGGGGCCCTCCCTGCTGGTGCAGTGGGTTAGGACTCAGCGCTGCGAGCTGGCCACAGCTGCTTCAGTGCGAGTTTGATCCCCGCCCGGAGGTGACCCACATGGCGTGGCAGACCTCTCCTGACCTACCCGCTGTTCCCCTCAGTACTGTACCTTGTCGATCTGCCTGTTCTGCTTCCCACTCTGTCTCTGGTGAAGCCTCTCACTGCCCCTGCACCTCTGGCTTATATCCCAGTTCTGTATGCACAAATAAATAAATCTTTAAAAAAAAAAGGCTATACTTAGGGCCCTTCCCTGTGGTGCAGCAGGTTAAAGCACAGCACTAAGAAGCTAAAGCCACATCAGCTTAAGTTCAATTTTTGGCCAGGGAGCTGACCCACATGGCACAACAGACCTCTCTTGTCTTGCCCATTGCTCCCCTCAGCAGTGTACTTCGTCAGTCGGCCTGTTCTGCTCCCCACTCTGTCTCTGGTGAAGCCTCTCACCGCCCCTGCACCTCTGGCCTGTATTCCAGTTCTGTATGCACAAATAAATAAATCTTTAAAAAACAAACAATATTTGGCCTTAATTTATGAGATGCTCGTAAATTAAGTATTCTCAACTTAGTTCCAGTCTTCTCTGTGTCCTTATTTTAAAATGCTGAGTTTAATTTCCTTTTCACTCTCATGGGTCAGAACCAGATAAGGTCTGTAAAGCACTAAGCACAGGCAAGCATATGCGGGTATTTAATAAGTGTTAAGTTATTTTCTGTATTTGCTCTTCTACTTTTAAAATAGACAAGCCTTAAATAGGAGAATATATGTAGCCTGTGGGCAAGGGCCTGGCCCTGGCCGCAGCAGTTTCCTGCTTCCTCCTTGGCAGTGTGGTAAGTGTGAACAGCAGCCAGATGAGTCGCCCCTTCTAAGCTGCTCTGGCCCTGCAGCGTGACCGCAGATTAGACTTTTTTATTGAGACTCATTTTCCCTTTTACTTGGGGAAGGAGGGAGAGAGGTAGGACTCGGAAACCCAGACCATGTCAAAAAAGGCCAATTGTTTTCTCTTCTGTGGAGAAGGGTATGGGATGTGTGGTTCAGAGAAGGAGGAGGAGGCATCTGTGTACCAGGGAGGCCATTGCAGGGAGCAGAGCCGTCCAGGGAATCAGGTCTTTGGCTGTGGAGAACGCCCCGCATTGAGCTCCAGCCAGGGTTTCCCTCACGATCC